GACATGAACCAGCACCCACATGTGATGCTGGTGTCACAGGAAGGATCACTAATATGTTGAGCCACAGATCTGTTTGAGACCAGGGGCCTTATTCAGCTCATCCTAACCCCTGGAACAGAGCGTGCCCAACACATGGTAAATATCAGATAACCCCACTGAATGTCAGGCGAACGTGATAACCACTGCACTATGGAAACTTACACCCCACTGAATGTCAAAATAATTATCCTCTCTTTCTGGTTCCTTTTCACTGTTCCCACTCCTTCTGTATTGTGTTCTTCTACAAACCCACAAACATGTTGAAGTATTTTTCAACAAAGAAACAGAAAATATAAAAGCTCTTTTTTTTTGACTAATTTTAAGAATTTTCTTTCTATAACCAAATTTCATTTCAGTTACATCTTTATCACTTAAAGTTTCCCCCACTAATCCTCAGCACTTCAAAATGTAGTTTCAAAAAAAAAAAAAGCAGTTTCCTCCCAAACTTGCCTGCTCAGAACCACCAGGGCCCTAAAATGCATTTTCTCTTCCCTATCCTCCCTGCTGCCCTTTCTGCCTTTCTTAACATATATAGGAAACAAAAACAAGATGAAATCTAAGAACCTGTTCCTTGAACTCTTCTCCAGGTGCCTTCCATGGTTCCTTTAATGATATGTGATCTTTTATTTTCTATAAATAATAACACCATTTATCAACTCATTTTTTACTATCTGTCAGACAAATTCCTGAAAACTGATTTGACACCTTTTTTTTTTTTTGTTTAAGATGTTTTTATGGGCCTGGTGGCATGAGTCAGTGGCTAAATCCTCACCTTGAACAGGCCAGGATTTCATATGGCCACCAGTTCGTATGCTGGCTGCTCCACTTCCCATCCAGCTCCCTGCTTGTGGCCTGGGGAAGCAGTGGAAGGATAACTCAAAGCCTTGGGACCCTGCCCCCATGTAGGTGACCCACAAGAAGCACCTGGCTCCTGGCTTCAGAGTGGCTCAGCTCCAGCCATTGTGACTACTTGGGCAGTGAGCCAGCGGATAAAACATCTTTTTCTGTCTCTCCTTATCTCAGTAAATCCGCCATTTCAACAAACAGAAAACCAAAAATCCTGGAGAAAAAAAAAAAAAAAGGAACAGACATTCAGGTATTTGGCCTCGTGATGAAGACACTGCTGGGATGCCTACAACCTACAGCAGAGTGCCTCGGTTCAAGTCTCAGCAGAACTTCAATTCTACTTCCTGCTGACCCCTGGTACCTAGGTGAGGACAGCTCACGTAGTTGCGACCCTGCCACCCACAGAGCAGACCTGGATTGAGTTCTCAGATCCCTGCTTCAGCCAGGCCCAGCCTCAGCTACTGTGAATCTAAGGAAAGTGAATCAACAAGTAGGAGATAACTTCTCCCTATGCCTGTTGATCAAATAAAATAAATTAGTAAGTAAAAAAAAAATTTTTTTTCAAGAGTGTTAAGAGTACTGGAGAATGGGAACACTTGTTAAAATAAGAAGGAGAGGTCACTTTGAAGGATAAAGGGCTAGTAAAAAGTATTATGAAAGGCAATGTACAGTCAGAAAGCAGTACAAAGATATAAATAATTACTGTTAACTCATTCATCTGGCATTTACTGTGGGCAAGACTAATTATAATTTTTTCAAAGATTTTGTTTATTTTTATTGGAAAATCAGATTTACAGAGAGAAGGAAAGACAGAGAGGAAGATCTTCCATCTGTTGGTTCACTCCCCAAATGGTTGCAACGGTTAGAGCTCAATCGATCCGAAGCCAGAAGCCAGGAGCCAGGAGCTTCTTCTGGGTCTCCCACATGGGTTCAGGGTCCCAAGGCTCTGGGCCATCCTCGACTGCTTTCCCAGGCCCCAAACAGGGAGCTGGATGGGAAATGGGGCACGGCTGGGATACGAACTGGCACCCATATGGGATCCTGGCAGTCTCAAGGTGAGGATTTAGCCACTAGGTTACTATGCTGGGCTACAATATATAAAATTTAAGACACTACACCTAGGGCTGGCACTGTGGCATAATGGATTAAGTCACTGTCTGCAATACTGACATCCCATGAGTGCTGTTTCAAGTTCAGGCTACTCCATTTCAATCTAGTTTCCTGCTAATGTGCCTGAGAAAGCAACGGAAGATGCCCTAAATTCTTGGCCCCAGCGGACATGTGGAAGATCCAGAACAAACTCCTGGCTCCTGGCTTTTTCCTGGCACAGCCCTAGCTGTTACAACCATTTGTCTTTCTCTCTCACCCTCTGTAGCTTCCAAAACATTCAAATAAATCTTTAAAAAATAGGGCCTCATGTATGTATGTATACACACACACACACACACACACACACACACACACACACACAAGGCACTACACAGTATTTTTGAATCTACACTTAAAAATATCAGGACATGTTTGAAAGATCACCAATCACCTTGTGTTCCACTCACCTGTGTAATCTAGGTCTGTCAGTAAGTTCTCAAGCTCTGTTGTGCAAAAGAACACCTGGGATCTGTTACTGTGAAGTCTTCATTCACACTGCTACAACTTTGCTGTATCTGAGTTTCACCTACACTACTCTTCTTAACAATTCATTTAAACTGATAACATATAAAACTATCCATTACTATCAAGAGAAGCCTAAGCCATATCCTAAATAAGGGGCTTAATGGCATACTCTTTTTAGAATATATAGGAAACAAATGCATAACATGAAAAAGAACTGTCCATACTCTCAGTGGATGCAGGCAGCCGGATGTACATTGTTCAGAGTTTATGCTCTGGAACCACTCCACCGTGCAAGAAGTCTAATGACATACATGAAAGCAAAAACATTTCAGGCAATGAAGCTCAGAATTTTGCTTCCCAAGAAGTCACACAGAATTCTTCTATCCTGTAGAGTCTATAAATTAATCCAAAAGTGTTTTTAAAATTAATGTTCTAATGATTACAAAATGATTCATAAAATATTTTTAACATAATGGCTTTTCATTTTTTAAAATGCTGCATATTTTATTCTGGTACTTGACTCAGAATATTTTTGAGTTGACACTTGAGCTAACCCCCAACAGCGCAAGAACCAAACTTAAAAGCAGCAGCGGTTAGAACGACGTGAAGAACGGCTGTGCTCTTGACCCACAATAAAACACTCATCTATTTTATTTAGAATTGCATTTGATTAAGACAGATAATAGAGTTCAAAGGTATAAATCTGATCAGGCTTTCTTTTCCTTCAATCTCAGAGCAATTTATAATAATAGGCAAAAATACCGGGCGAATAACTGTATCTCAGCAAGGTCTATTCCTGAAAGGCTTTGAAAAATGCATAACCACAAACAGAGAAGAGGGTTAGAACAGTTCACTAAATGAATGGTTGTGCCTTTAAGAACAATGTTCTACTCTCAATTATGATCTTACTCAAATAGCAGGGGGAAATTTTTTCCAAATTTCAACCTAAATACTCTGAATGGATGTCAGTGTGTCCCAAACCAGCTCTACATGTTTACTCTGAAGTCACACTGAACAAAAACATGAATGAAGGACTTGTGGTCCTTGATCTTTCTACATCACTTAACTCCCCCTGGAAATTTACCTTCCTGCTTCCTGCTGTATAAAGCACTCTACTCTGTCTAGATGAAAGGACTGCTCCAGCAGCGCCCTTAACTAGTCTCCCTGCTCACCTCAGCTTCTCTACAGCCACCTCTACACAGCAGCCAGGGAAGCCCTGCTAAGCACGTCAGATGCAGCACCCTTCACTCACAGCTGGCCAGTCCCTGTCTGTCAGACCAAAGGCCAAAACCTTTCACGTGACACAGGAGATGCCTCCATACACAATCAGCCCGGCCCTCAGCCCAACCGTCCTGCCCTTCCCGCACTCTGCTCCTGTCACAGCAGCTTCTTGGCTGCTGCCTAACCTGGGCTTCCTCCTGACTGGCACTTCCACCGGCCTTGGCACTGGTTGCTCTGCTGGCACAGCTCTTCCCACTCCTAGGCTCTACTTTACGACTTCCTAGAGGGGTTTGTTCAAACATCACCTTGCAGGTGAGCCTTCTCAAGATCACCTTACAAGCACAGTCCCCGCCCTCAAGCTCCGGGCTCCGCGATTTTCCCTTTTGACATTCCGCACCTTTTGTTTACCCCAGGGTGTGAACTCCTAGGCGAAGACCTGTGTTCCCTGTGCTATCTCAGCACCAAGGACGTGCCCAGCACATAGTAGATGTTCAATAAATATCTGCCCGATGCACACACTGCCCCGCGCCCACTTGGGGACTACATCCTCCAATTTCCCAACGGCTTGCAAACTCAGTCTCTTTTGTCTGAACCATCATCCCCCCCCCCTTTTTTTTTTCTTTAGCTAGTAGGGAGGCAGTTAAATTCCCAACTACTTTGCAAGGAAGAAGGAAATCACGCGGAAAACTGATTTCAGATGATTTCATTCCTACCCATAAACCCACCATGAAAAAGAACTGCTGGATGCTTCTTGAAGCTTTAGCTTTCGAAAAATCAACAGTATGGGTCGGGGTGGGCGGGAGGGTGCGGAACGGGCCGAGAGAGGCGTGAGAGCCCCGCAGTCCGTCCGGAGCCTCAACTCCGATACAGTCCCAACTTACTTTGGGGGGGACGGGGCGCGGGGGGTGGTGGGGGGAGAAGAAACGGGAAGGCACGGTTCGAGGTCTCGGCCAGGGACGGGGTGTCTCCTCCTCACCCTATTGTGCTGCGTCTGGACAAGGACGTGCGCTGGGCGAGCAGGGGGTGTGAAGGGATGCTGAGTGCGGCGCCGACTGCCTCCTCACACAAAGTCGGGAGGCGAGGGCTCGGCGCGGGGGGTCTAACGGGCGCCGGGGGCCGCGCGCCTCGCACCGCAGCCTCGGCCCCGGGGCGCGGGCGGGACGCGCGGAGTTAGGCCCGGACGGAGCCCCGTGGCCTCCCGGCGGCCGGGCACGCGGGGCCCCGCGCCCCCGGCTCGCCCCCCACTCCACCTCCCTCCATCCCGAGCTCTTCCCCGTTACCTCGAACTCTCTTCAGCGAAATGGGATCCTTCTCCTGTTCTGCTGACATTACAGACCGCAAAGCATGACTCCCCCCAGGCCGCGGGAATTCGGTGTCTTTGATGCTGCGGCGGCGGCGGCGGCTCCTCCTCCTCCTCCTCGCGGGGCCGCTGCGGCTGCGAGGCGAGCCTTAGAGCCGAACAGCCGCCGAGGGCGGCGGGGACGCGGGCCGACTTTGCAAAGTTTGGGAGGAGGACGAGGCCTCGGGGCGGCGGGGCAGCGTGCGGGGGGCTGGTCGGGCTCAGCGGCGGCGGCCGGGAGCGCGGCCTGGGGGCGGCCCCCCGCCCGGGGCCGGCATGTGCGGTGGACGAATGCGCCGCCGCCGCCGCCGCCTCCTCCCGCTCCTTCTTCTTCTTCTTCTTCACCGCCGCCGCCTCAGGAGCCGCTGACAGGGGAGGCAGGAGGCGGGCGACCCGGCCCTGGCGGCGCACTCACAGCGCCCTCTGAAGAGGAGGTCGGCTCTCTCTCTCCGCCACTCCCGAGTCGCAGACACAAAAGCCCCCAGCCTGGAGCCGCCTGCAAAACCCGCTCCGGGGCGGGCGAGGGACGTGGCGCGGCCCCGCGGCTTCCCCGCCCTGCGCTCCCCAGCCCCGCGCGGGGACGGGCTTCGGGGGGCGGGGGCCGCTGCCTGGTCCCGCGGCGCCTCCCGCCGCCTCCCGCCGCCGCCGCCGCCTCGGCCCAGCCCCCACGGCCCGCGCGCGCCTCACGCTTCGCGCCGGGGCTCGCGGGCCCGCGGCCCAGACAGCCCGGGCGGCCGGCGCGCGCCGAGGGGCCGCCCCGCCCCGCGCCCGGCGCTCCTCGCCTGCCCGCCAGGCCCGAGGGCGGCCGGCGCTGTGGCCGACGCGCCCCGGCTAGGGAAATGGCATCTCCGAACTTCGTCGGGAGCTCCGGCAGGCATCTTCGCCTCCCAGCCAAGAGATCTGAAAGAGGAACGTACGAAGCGAGAAAACTTTGTAAGCGGGAGCTGCGGAGTTCTCGGCGGGCATGTGGGAGACACCATTTCCCGCGGCTCGATGTCCGTGGCCTGGACACCTGTTTGTGGAACGCCCCAAGTTGTTTTTTTATTATTATTTTTTTAACGACTTGTCGCTTCGATTAAGAGCGTCGTGAGATGAAATATAAGGAATAGCGATGGCGGAGAAGGCTGGACCTCATTTAAACGTTACATTTAAGGAGAACCTCCTAATGTGATTGCAGAGTAGATTGGCTTACCCGTCTCTATTCATCCGTGGGGCTGTGAGATCTGAGAACTTGGGAAACCTTGAGTCTGGGCTTTTCGATGGGCGCAAGTCGATGGGGCTCCACCTCCGAAGTCTCTTCTAGCTCTGACATCTTTTGTCCTTTTAAAGAAAATTGTTTTCCTTGCATTTCGTTAGGTTTACTTATGATCCCATTAGAGAGTCTGTAGGTGCAGACTCTATATTCAGTCAGGCAAAGCACTGGAGTTAGTTTTGATGTCAGAATCACTGAAAAAACATCCACTATACATAAGGACATGGAATTAACTGAAACAGGAATCCCATCCTTCCAGAGACAAGACTCCTAAAATTTACCCACTTTGCACAGTGTCGGAAACCGGAGATAAACAATCTCAACAGCTACAGGAGGAACAGGTACCACTGGAGTGCAGTCAGCCTCAAAAGACAACGCTGGCATAACCAATAGCCAGAAGTCGCTCTTTAAATCGATAAAGGGAAAGGAAGCCTGGATTCCTGAGTAAAAGATTCAGGACAGCTTAGGGAAATGTTGGCACAGGAGACTTGCCTGTGTGTAGAAGTTTTTCCTTAAGTGGAATGTGAGCCCAGTGCAGGTGGGAATTCCTTCCAGATCACCACTGTAGCCCCTGGCACTTAACTAGTATTTAATATATTCCAAAATATTTCTCGAATGGATGTATAAAAAAAATAAGTCTGGAAGTGACCTCGGGGACACTAAATTGGCTGGGCTGCTGTCAAAAAGCAAAGGGTAAGAACAATGAAGCAAATTGCAGTACTACTCTACCTCAGAGGCTTCTGGGGTGGAAGATGTGAAAATACTTTGAAAGTATCAGTCAATATGGCCACATAGGGTTTTTATTAGATAGCTGTTAATGAAAGGAGAGTGGCTGGGGGAAAAAAATCACTTCTAAAAGATTTTGATTTCTTTATTGTAATTCCCTAAGGCTAGAGTCTCGGCAATAATGTGGGAATCAAAAGAAACGTCTTCTTTTTATTGATTCATCAAGAATAAAAAGACTTTCCTACATGGACATGGTTTTTCAGATCAATTTGGCTTCCAAATCCTGACTGACCAATTGCATGCCCATATCAGAATTACCTGGGGAGCATTTACAAATTTCAGAATCCCAAGCTCCCTTCCCAGATGTACTGAAGCAGAATTTCTGAGAATGAGGTCTAAAAATCTGTCATCAAACGCTCTCTAGGTGATTCAAAAGCAAGGAGCCGCTTTGGCGACTTGCGTTTATGAACCATATGGTACACAGCATTGTTAGTAAAAGATACACGGAGACTGATGAGACAATAGTACTTTTCCTTAAGGAGTTTGGTTTCAGACAGCAAGTTAATATTGTAAAGTCCCAGGCATCACAACAGACTAACATGTCGCACAGGGGAGAAACTTTGTACTCCCACTGGGAGGCAGGGGACACTTGAGGAGAGCCTTTGAAAAGAGAGATGGGACAGATGTTCACCCTACTGGATGAGCTAGGACTTAAGATGTCTTGCACCCTGTGTTGGGAGTGTCTGGATTCAAATCCTGCTTCTTGCTAATGCCCGCCCTGGGAGGCAGGAGGTGATGTTTCCTTAGGTGGGACCCTTCTGCCCCGATGGGAGACACAGAAGGAGTTCTGAACCCCTGTCATCAGCCTGCTCTAGCCCTTCCCTGATTGTTGTGGCATCTGGAGAGTGAACTAGTAAATCAGTGCAGGATCTCTCTCTCTCTCTCCATATATATTTACATATTTACATGTGTGGCCATCTTGCATGAGATGGGAGTTCCCAAAGACAGATATACTAATTATAACCCATAATTCCCCAAGCCATAGGCAAAGCAGCATGTGAAGTCAAATTAGCAATTATGAATTAGTTTGTGTCACCATCACTTTCATCAGTCATGACACACTTTTGCTATCTAACAACTCCAAAAGCAAATGGCTTGTAAAAATCTATGTATGAGGCTAGCAGTGTGGCATAGTGGATGAAGCTACCACCTGCCTGTGGTGTTGGCATCCCAAATGGACTCTTGTTTGAGTCTCGGCAGCTCCACTTCCAGTCCAGCTATCTGCTCACATCCCTGGGAAAGCAAAAAAGGATGGCTCAAGTGCTTGGGTCTGTGCAGCCTCATTTGCATCAGGCCAGCTCCAATCATTGTGAATATTTGGGGAGAGCAACAGCACATGGAAGATTTCTCTCTGTGTGTATGTATGTGTGTGTGCGCACACGCACGTGCATTTATAAGTTTCTCCCTTTCCCTTTATAACTGCCTTTTGGAATAAAAAAAAAAACATAATCTGTTCATGATTGTATGGAGAGCCAATTTGTGCAGGACTTAGCTAATACAACTTCTTTCAGTATCACACAGTGTTGACTGGAAAGCATTGCAGTCAGCTGGTAGCTAGTGACCTAACATGTGTCGTTGTTGGCTGGTTGTAAAAAGGAGAAACGAGGGCCTGGTACAGTAGCTCGATGGCTGGATCCTCACCTTCCAAGCGCTGTGATCCCATAGGCATGCTGGTTTGTGTCCTGGCTGCTCCACTTCCTATCTAGCTCCCTGCTTGTGGCCTGAGAAAGCAGTGGAGGATGGTCCAGTGCCTTGGGAACTTATTCCACGACAGGAGACGCCGAGGGAGCTACTGGCTGCAGGCTTCAGATTCAGCTCAGTTCTGGCCATTGTGACCATTTGAGAAGTGAACCAGAGTGTAAATATGGTCTGCCTTTCCAATAAAAATAAAATAAATCTCTTTCAAGATTTTGCTTGTGTCTCATTGGCTAGAACAATTTATATGACCAAGCCTAGAATCATTGTGGGAGAGTCAGTTACCCAAGGATTTGGATATAAGAGGGCAGAACAAATTTGGGTCATTACTTCAACAATCATGACATGTATCCTTATTTGTGAGAGAGGAACACATTGTGTTCTCAAACAAATGCTGTTCACTCCTTCATAGCATCTGTCATGTTCTTCTACCCTTGCTTATCTTGGAAATGTCAGATTCCTATGAAGATCCATCAATATGTCTCACCACTGCTATTAATAGTCAACTCCATCAATACAATACAACGTGCCCAACTAGAAACCTTTAAATGTCAGAGTGAAACTGTGAGGTCCTTATTGTGTTGAAGCCTTGTGATAGTTGAAGCGTAAGTGGGGGAAATGTCCTCCGCTGCCCAAACCTATTGTATTTCCAATGCCCCCAGTATGACAGAATCCCTAAGAAAAAAATTATTTAAAAAAATTCCTTTAAAAATAAAATAAAAGTATAAATAAAAAATCCTTTTATCTTACTGTAGTTTTATCCACGAGATCTGATAGTGAGTTATCTTTACTTCTCTCGGGGAGCTGCGGGTCAGTATTCCGGTCGCCACTATGCCAGTCATACCTGGAATTCAGCAGGCGGCACAGTGTAGGCTGCAACGAGGGTCAATGGACTATTTCCGTGGAGGCTTTTTCAGGCCACACATTCTCTGTCCTAACTACTCATCTCTGCCATTGGAGCATAAAAGCAGCAATAGGTAATATGTAAACAAATAGATATAATCAATTCTAATAAAATTTTGTCTATAAAAGCAAGCAGTGAACTGAATTTGGTTTACAGGTTTGTTGACCATTAGCTAGAGCTTAGGCCATATAAACAGCTGTGGAGCTCAAAGTTCAGATCTAGGCTGCAGATATTCATCACCTGAAGGTATTATCTAAGCATGGATAACCCACCTACAACCAGTAAGAAATGGGCAAGAGGAACAGTACACAGGAAAGGATGACATGATAAAGGGTAAAGGTAGACAAGACTAAATGGGCCAGCATCATGACACACAAAGTTAAACCATCACTTGCACTCCAGCATCCCATATGGGTACCAGTTCATGTTCCCAGCAGGTGCTCCAATATATAATACGTACATTCCAAGCTTAACATGCTACGCCCCTGCACCTATCCCTGACTAGGTAGTAACCACTAGTACAATCCTGTATCTAATGACAAGACCTGCTGGTGTTTTCCTAGTATAGCCATAATCACCCACTGCCTGAGAGCTTGTTTGGAGGTTCTAGCAGAGGAGTGCAACCACTCCTATACCCTTGACGAAGACCGGTCCTCTCTGGGGTGGATGGTCGTCCTCTTCAACTGAGCACGCAGTTTTGGGAGGGACGCACATTGAGCGCTGAGGGAGGAAGGGGACACCCGCCTAGCCAGCCAGATCAGCCGAATCAACCCTGGCGATCAATGGGGTGACAGATGTCACAGCTAGATCGCCCTCACATCCCACAATCACCTGCTCTTTACATACCTATCAAATGGCCATCAATCCATTCTGCAGTTTTATATTTCATGAATAGTGCACAATGAAATGAGAGCAGCTCTTGAGAGCAGCTTTTTTTTTTTTTACACACAGTGAAATTTGGATTTTAAGTTGTGTATATGTGTCAATGTTTTGCTCCTTTTTACTACTTAGTAGTATTACACATATGGATATACCACGGTTTGTTAAACTGTTCAGTAAGATACACTTACATAGTTACTACTTCTTACTTGTTACAAATAAAATTATTATGACCACATATAATTTCCTGAATGAAAATAAGCATTCATTTTTCTGCAGTGGAAACCCAAGAATGCAATTATGCATCATATGGTAAGTCTTTTCAGTTTTGAAAGGAACTACCAAGGTCTTTTCCAGAATGAAGAGTGCTCTTTTGATAACAGCATACCATGATTTTAAATACAGTCTCACCGTGGTGTCATTTTAAATACAATTCTTCAGTGGGTTTCCTGAAACCGTTACAATTAAGGTTGGATTTTTTTAAAAACATGAACTACAAGGTCTGCATAATTCCCACACATTTCTCCAATTTCAGTCTACACTACTCCTTTGCTTCCCTCTAACACACACTTACGGACCTGGTGCAGTAGCCTAGTGGCCAAAGTCCTCCCTTTCCATGTGCTGGGATCCTAAATAGACACCAGTTCTAATTCCAGGGGTCCCACTTCCGATCTAGCTACCTACTTGTGGCCTGGGAAAGCAGTTGAGGATGGCCCAAAGCTGTGGGATCCTGTACCTGCGTGGGAAACCTGGAAGAGGCTCTTGGCTTTGGATCTGCTCAGCTCCAGCCATTGTAGCAGCTTGGGCAGTGAATCATCAGACAGAAGTTTTTTTTTTTTGAAAGATTTATTTATTTTTATTGGAAAGGTGGATATATAGAGAGGAGTAGAGACAGAGAGGAAGATCCTCCTTCTGACGACTCCCTCCCCAAGTGAACGCAACGGCCGGTGATGCACCAATCTGAAGCCAGGAGCCAGATCCTCTTCTGGGTCTCCCATGCAGTTGGAGGGTCCCAAGGCGTTGGGCTGTCCTCCACTGCTTTCCCAGGCCACAAGCAGGGAGCTGGATGGGAAGTGGGGCTGTTGGGATTAGAAACTGTACCCATATGGGATCCCAGAGTGTTCAAGGCGAGGAGTTCAGCAGCTATGTTATTGCGCTGGACCCAGATGGGATATCTTACTGTTTGTCTCTTCTTCTCTCTGTATAGCTAACTTTCCAGTAAAAACAAAGTAAATCTTCAAAAAAAAAATACACACTTGAACCAGTGCTCATTTGGGATGCTCATATTGCAGTTGGTGGTTTAACTTGTTGTGCCACAACAAATTAACAACCGATCCTTTGGCTCTCTATGCTGAATACCTTTGAAAAAAAAAAAAATATGCTGTTCCTCTTCCTAAGACACTTCTCTCCATTTCTAGTCTCACTAATTCAAGCACTATCTTTCATTCTTAACTGCAGTGTCTGTTTTGCATTTTATTCAAAGATTTACTTATTTTCATGGGAAAGGCAGATTATACAGAGAGAATAACAAACTATGAGACAGAGAGGTTTTTCCATCCACTGGTTCACTCCCCAAATGGCCTCAAAACAAAGCTAGGAACCAGAAGCTTCTTTTGAGTCTCCTACATGGGTTCAGGTGTCCAAGGATTAAGCCCTTGCCTTGAACGCACCAACATCCCATATGGGCGCCGGTTCTAATCCCGGCAGCTCCACTTCCCATCCAGCTCCTTGCTTGTGGCCTGGGAAAGCAGTCGAGGATGGCCCAGAGCACTGGGACCCTTCACCTGCGTGGGAGACCTGGAAGAGGTTCCTGGCTCCTGGCTTTGGATCGGCGCAGCACCAGCCATTGCGGTCACTTGGGGAGTGAACCATCGGATGGAAGATCTTCCTCTCTGTCTCTCCTCCTCTCTGTATGTCTGACTTTCCAATAAACAAATAAATCTTTTTTAAAAATAATTAATTAAATTACTAGTAGGACATTAATTTTTTAAAATATTAAATGTCATAATAAAGAGACAACTGTGTAAGTTACTGCCTGTTTTTATCACTACTTGTTATATGAACTGGACATAACCTCATCAATGAGTAACTAAAGATTGAGTTTACCACTACAATCTCAAGAAGACTCCTGGTATTTTTTTATAAGCAGCACAGTTTAAGACATTCATGGTCACATCATCATATTTTCAGTGCCATACCTGCAGGCATCTGGCTTTTATCTTTGATGCTAAGGATAGAGTGAGTCACATACTTCTTAGGTGACAGCTGATGAAACCAATATGGCAAAGTAATGTAGGATTTCTTTTTGTCTTGTTTTGCTGCATTTTAACAGATTTTTTTTCAGGAAATAAACCCTGCCAACACCGGCAGACTGTATCACTGTGGGTGCCTGCGAAAATTTTTGAGAACATGTGGCAACAAGCAAGATGCGTGCATATTTGTGAATGAAACACAGCAAGGCAAGGCTACCTAAGAAACATGACAAATCTTGGTGTTAAAATAACAAAGTACAAATATGAGACAATTGGCATTTTATGAACGCTCTTTCAAGAGACAGAAAATGTGCCGGTTTTAAGCCCTTCTGCTGTCTATGTGTGTTTGAAAAGAAAAAGTAGGAATAAGGAGATAATGCCAACTTTGTACAAGAATGCTCCTTTGAGTCCTCTGGCTCCCCAGTTATTTGCACATTTGCCTTTTAGGAAGATACAATTTATATACAAGTCACCTTGTTTGCTTTTTTAGAATTCACTCAAATTTACTGTATAGCACACTTACTTTTTAGTTTATATGTTGTATCTACAGAACTGTATAAGTATTAGCATTAATTCTAGAATATCTTCATCACATCAAACAGAATGGTCCTGGCTGGTTACAGTCACTCCCTACATTTTCAAATCACTATCCCTTGGCAACAAATAATCTACTTTCTGTGACCATGGGCTTGCTTACAATGGGCATGTCATTTGGCATCAATGAAATCCTGTCGGATACTAAGGTCTTCCGTGGCTGGCATCTTTCACTTAGCATATTTCTAGTTATCCATCTTGTGGATATATTACTTCATGCTTTTTATGACTGAATACTTTGAGGAATATTCAAAAAGTTCATGGAAAATGTGAATTATGAAGAAAGGATGGATTTCAAAAACTTGTTACCTCAAAGTAAATTTATATTTTAATTTCATTGCTGCAGGAAATTTTGAAGAATGTCTTACATTTCATTACATAGATATACCTATGGGTAAACTTACTTTTTCAACTTTTTAAAAAATCTATTTTATTTTCATGCACATAAAAGAGAGAAGGTTTTCCAGTTTTGATTCACCTTTAAAAATATATATATTTATTTATTTTTATTGGAAAGGCATATATACAGAGAGGAGGAGAGACAGTAAGGAAGATCTTCTATCCAATGATTCACTCCCCAAGTGGCTGCAATGGCCAGAGCTGTGCCAATCCAAAGCAAGGAGCCAGTAGCTTCTTCCAGGTCTCCCACATGGGTGCAGGGTCCTATGGCCTTGGGCTGTCCTCCACTGCTTCCCCAGGCCACAAGCAAGGAGTTGGATGGGAAGTGGGGCTGCTGGGATTAGAACTGGTACCCATATGGGATCCTGATGCATTCAAGGTGAGGACTTCAGCCACTAGGCCACCACGCCGGGGCCTTGATTCACCTCTTAAAAGACAGGGCCATGGGCCCAGTGCGCTGGCTTAACGGCTAAAGTCCTTGCCTTGAACATATTGGGATCCCATATTGGCACCGGTTCTAATCCCAGCAGCTCGATTTTCATCCAACTCACTGCTTGTGGCCTGGGAAAGAAGTCAAGGACCCTGCACCCAAATGTGAGACCTGGATGAGGTTCCTGGCTTTGGATAGGTGCAGCACCACCTGTTGCGGTCACTTGGGGAGTGAGTACTTGGATGGAAGATCTTCTGCTCTGTATATCTGACTTTGCAATAAAAGTTAAAAAAAAAAATCTTAAAAAGACAGGGCCATGTGCCTGATACGGTAGCCTAGTGACTGAAGTCCTCGCCTTGCATGCTTCAGGATCCCATGTGAGAACTGGTTCTAATTCTGGTGACCCTGCTTCCTA